AGGGGTTTTTATTTGGGGATTTAGGTAGAGGAGGGAGACCATGGCCTTCTTGGTCAGTGTCTTCCCATCGGCCTGTGTCTGGGGATGCTTCCAGCAGAGGAGACAGAGGATTTCTCAGATGACTGCCCTTGGCTGTGTATCTCCATGGTGGAGGGCGGATTCTGATGTCAGGAAGCCAAGGAGTTGGGCCTGGGAAGCTTCGTTTCTTGATATTCTCTGGACGTTATTTTCTCTGTAAAAGAACTTCAAGGTCCTGGGATTAGCCTCAGTTTTAGTGGGAGCCCAGCATGAGGTCATCCAGAACTTTAACAATTTGTAAGTTCTATCTGGTTGTAAAGCTCAGGGAGTCAGAGGTCAAAGAAACAAACATTTACATCTGAGTGTAACTAAGGAACCAGGGACCTGGGACTGTGTGCCTTTAGTTTTAACCCATATATGCTGGGTTCACTGTTGGGCAGCCAATATCAGTGCTGATATTAACTAAGAGCCAGGAACAGATCTTCTTGTGCTTATCCCACTTAGAGTTCATTGACCTGCTTGGATGTGTTAATTAAGTATTTCTTAGCAAATTTGGTAAAATTTCAGCCATTATTTCTTCAAATATTATTTCTGCCTCTTTCTGTCTTCTCTTCTAAGACTCTCATTACACGTACGTTAATATGCTTCATGGTGTCCCATAGATTTCTGATCCTATTTTAATTTTTCTTCATACTTTTTCTTTCTAGTCTTTAGATTGGATAATCTCAGTTGATCCATCTCTTGGTTCATTGATTCTCTCTTTGGCTAGCCCAAATCTACAGTTGAATGCTCCTAGTGAATTTTTTATTTCAGTTATTTTAATTTTAAATTGTAGAATTTCAACTTCATTCTTTCAATACATTTTATTTCTTGGTTTATAATTTCTATTTGATGATTCATTGACATCATACTTTCCTTTCATCCTTTAAATACTTTTTTCAGTCCTTTAGATATATTTACATATCTAGGCACTCTCAGGGACAGTTTTGATTGACTACTTTTTTCCCTGGTGTATAGCTCACAATTTCCTGGCTATTAAAAAATATCTTGTATTTTTTTAGTTGAAAACTGGCATTTTAATTAGTATATTGTAGCAACTTTGGGTCCTGACACCTTACAAAATCTTGTCCTATTGATCTTTTTATGTCTATTTCTTTAATGACTTGTCTGGCTTTTATTTACAATTGCAAAGTACCCCTAACCTGGGATGAGTAGATAGCTAGGGCCCTCTCTGATATCTCTTGGTCATGTGTGCATGCACCCAGCTTCTAAACTCCCAGGAATATGTGGATGTTATCAAGGCCCCCTTTGACTGTCTCACATCCTGGACATCTCTGTTACATTTCTGTCTGATCTAGAAGTCAAGATCTCACTCCAGCCACTATTATGACCTTAGATTAGTTGTGATGTGAGCCTTGTCTGATTTTTCACCATTGAGATCACTATTGTTTTTGACAACACTCCCTAGTCGTGAATTTTTCCACACACTGCTCCAAATCAAATCAGCCCCTCTGGCAGTGGAGCTGGCCCTCATAGCCTGCTTCATGCAAGTAAAACAACAGGCCAAAGGAACTGTGGGGGTGGGAGCAACCTCAGGCTAAAACACCCCAGATTCCCACTATTCTTGCCAAGATTGAATAGTTTTTCTTGACTACCTACCTCTCAACTTGATGTATGGCTTTGCTCAATTTCCAGAGTCCTCAAATTTTTATTTTCATTATTTTTGTCCAATTTTATAATTGCTTTGAATGTGATGTTTTCTGGGGACTTTTATAACTTTTTTCATATTTAAGAAATTTTCAAGTTTTTTCTTTAAATATTTTCCACCACATTAACTTTTTAAAACTTGCAATCTTCCTTTTGTTTCTCTTTTTTTCAGTAGATATTGCAAGTATCATCTGCGAATAACCATAAATTTGTCTCCTTTTATTTTTATTTTTCGTATAATATTTTGAGCTAATTTGTGGTTCTGACAAGAACTGTGTTAGCTAAGTATGATAACATTATCGTTGCCTTGATGTTGACTTTAATGGGAATACTTTTACTCTTTCGTGATAGACCATATGTTTGACTGAACACACACTCATACACACACACACACACACTCACACCCTTCTTTTCCTATATTATTACTGGCTTAAAGTTTCCAGAATAAATGTAGACTTTATAAAGTGAATTTTAGCTATTTACTTTTTGCATAGTGAATTATGTAATATGTAATTTTTACATTAAAATGCTTTAAACATTTATTATCCATTAGTATGTTGGATGAAAAGGTAAACCAAATGAATTTAATGAAGGGACAGTTTTAGAAGACTATTATATCTTGGAGAAAGAGTTTATAATGGTATAGTCATGGAAATATTAAGAAATAGTAAACATGAGGGTCTTAGAATAGTCATGACTGTTAGTGTAAGAGTTGCAAAAAGGAAAGACCAAGGCTATTTTGAAGAATTAAGTCTGGAAATACGCTTTTCAACTTTGTAGAAAATTGGGAGTATGAAGTAGAAGCCTCATTTCCTGAAAAGAGATTGACATGTAGATTTATTGAGCTAATTACTGGATTTCCTAGGGTGGTAAGTAGGTAAACGTGTCACAGACAGGTCAAAGACATTGATGATGGAGAAAATGCTATTGGTTTGGGTTTGAACCAACAGAACAGAATTGTTCCTTCTCCTTCCCTCCAAAGTTCTGAACTTATTCTTGATGTCGAACCTGAAGTGTGTTCACTCACCCATTGCACAGCAAGCCAATCTCTGACACTGGGGGGTTAGTGGAAGAAAGTAGGAATTTTATTATTGCACAGCGCTGAGCAAGGAGAGAGGGCCACTAATGCTGAAATCCCAAACTCCCTGAAAAGCTAAAAGGAAGGGTTTTTTATTTGGGTTTGTAGGTAGGGTAGGGGGAGCATACGGCCTTGTTGGTCAGAGTTTTCCCACCAGCTTGTCTTTGGCCTTTAGACACTTGCAGAGAGGAGGGAGCCTGTGACCTTGCTGGTCAGCAGCTTTCCCACCAGCCTGTATCTCTTTGTGAGGAGGAGATAGTGAATCCAGTTGTTTGTCCTTGGCGGTGTCTGTCTCCATGGAAGATAGTGGATTCTGGAGCCAGGAAGCCAGGGAACAAGCAGGGAATGAGTGTTTTGGTTTTAATTCTATATATGCTGGGTTTAATGTAGGGAAATTGATATCAGGGTCAGTATCAGTCTCACAATTAGAGCAACAGCATGAACTTTGAGCTGCTTCAGAAGAGGCTACAAAGTGTACTGCAGAGATTAACCTGAAAACATGGCCTCTCAAATTTGAATGAGCAGGAGAAGGGTTTTTTTGTTTCCAGTGTTCTAGGATTCAAGACTCTGGTTGAAAGAGAAAACTGGAGTGCTCACATGGCCTTTCCTGTTCTTTGCATGTCTTCTGGTATGTTTATTGAAAATGAGACATTTTAAGTAATATGATGTGGCAAATCTGAAAATCAAACCACTCCCAGTGCTTTTGTTCTTGCTGGATTTTTTGTTTGTTTATTAGGTGATTTTTAAAAAATAATGATGTAAAGTCTATGTTCTTACTGTGAGTGGTCACTGAAGTCTCTTCTCAGTTAGCTTAGTGGTCAGCTAATGACTGGAAAGATATTTTCCTAAGTGACTTGAACCAGTAAGTATCCTAATCTTTGCTAGGTGTTCTTTGGGTGTGTTGGGTCATGCCTTCAGCACTTTGGCAAGCTGTTTACATCTCTGCTTTTTCCTTATGTTCCTGATTGCACAGACTCTCAAGGTCAGTGAGAAGTGAAAGTTCAGGACGTTCTCAGGTTTTTCCTGGGCATTTGCACACACCTGCACATCACGTGGCCTTGTAGATTGCCAGGAATATGTTAGAGATTTTCTAAGCCTGTTATGGACATCTCATCCTCCTGCTTTTCCATTTAAATTTTTTGGTCAGTTTCCTGTTTACTCCAACTATTATCACTGACTCAGGCAGTTACTGATTGTTTTCAACAAACACCCTGGGGAAAAAACTTGTTTCTACTGAGTCAGGGCAAATAAAGACAAGCTCTGTTTTTGTGGGTTTCCAGGAGCTGCCAGACCAATCAAATACTGATACTTCCCTGGGAAAAGGGAGCTTTGGGAGCTCCAAATCCATTCTTTCCTTCCCAGTAGCTGCCAGGCTGCTGGTTTCTGTGGCCACTGCAGAGGTGGGAAGAGGAGATGAGATCAGTAAAATTCCTGAATCCTGTTATTCTCACTGAGATAAGAACCATTTTTCTTCAATAAGTATTCCTCAGATTGTTGTAATACTTTGGTTAGTATTCATAGTCCTGAAAAAGTTGATTTTGACAATATTTGTCAATGTTGTTTTTATGGAAGAGCAGTATTTTAAAGATCCTTATCTTACTACTGAAAAGTGATCTCTCCTTTTGGACTTTTTGTGAGTATTAAGTAAACTAATGTTTATGAGGAATAAAACCATGATTTACCTTCTAAGTGCATGGAATCAATTGTAAGCATGTAAAAATGCTTTAACAGTTTAACTGTATCAGTTTGGTCCAACCCTCGCTTTTCCTTTTACTATCACAGTCACTATTTTATCATCTTAATCTCAGACAGGGGAAATTAATCTATCACATCAATCACCATATCTGAATTTTTACTTCTCTTTTTTTTTTTTTTACCTCTAGGTTTGTCCACTCTTAATTACTTCAACAAACAGGAGCATAAATATCAGGTGGAAATATAAGTGAAATAGAAACTATATGCTGCCCAGCTAATTATTTAATTAATGCAACCAAGAGAAGCATAATAAAGGCCTTAATATAATTTTAAGCTACTTCCACAAATTTTCACATTCTTGCGACATTGGATTTACTCTTAAAAAATTTTATAAATCAAGAAATTTGAGTTCCAATAGTTTGGATTTGTTTGAAAACTTATGAAATGATACTTTTATATAAAAAGTGACTAACTTCTGTTTTGTTTATTTGCTTTGGCAATGTATAGAGAACACTTGATTCTATTTCTACTGCACTGAAATATTTCAGATGATGGAAATAAATGACAGCTCAGGGGACGACTTCACCTTAGTCGGCTTCTCAGAATATCCCCAGGCTGAGTTCATCCTTTCTCTCTTTGTCTCTGGATTCTACGCCATGACACTCACAGGCAATGTGGCCATAATCTTGGTCTCCCTCCTGGATAGCCGGCTCCACACCCCAATGTACTTCTTTCTCCGAAACCTCTCATTTCTGGACATGTGTTTCACTACCTGCATTGTCCCTGAGATGCTGGCAAACATGTGGAAAGGCAGTAAGAAGATCAGCTACATAGGCTGCGTGGTTCAGTATTCTGTGGCCTTGGCTCTTGGCTCCACAGAGTGTGTGCTTCTTGATGTCATGGCTGTTGACCGTTATGTTGCTGTCTGCTGGCCCCTCCGCTATGCTACAATCATGCATCAACAGATCTGCCACCTTCTTGCAACTATGTCCTGGCTTTCAGGTTTTGTCAACTCACTCTTTCAGTCTTCACTGGCTGTTGTCTTGCCTCTATGTGGCCACCGCCATGTGGACCATTTCCTTTGTGAGGTGCTGGTCATTATCAAGCTCTCCTGTGTAGATACTGGTCCAACTGAGTTGAAGATGTTAATTGCTCGCCTGATCATTCTTACTGTTCCAGTCTGCATCATCCTTACCTCCTATGCCTGCATCGCCAGGGCTGTGGTGAGGATGCACTCTGCTGAAGGACGACAGAAAGCCTTTGGGACTTGTGCATCCCACCTGATTGTGGTCTCACTGTTCTATGGAACCATCATGTTCATGTACCTTCAGCCTAAGAGTAACTACTCTCAGAACCAGGGGAAGGTCTTTGCCCTTGTTTATACCATTGTTGCCCCTACCCTGAACCCACTAATTTATACGCTGAGGAACAAAGATGTAAAGAGGGCAATTAGAAAAGTGGTCTGGAAGGACTCTGTTTAAGAAATTACAATTCCTGAGATTTGGATTATAAAAATTACTTGGACAATAGACTAATGGAAGGAAGAATAGTTTTCTTAACAGATTTCAGCCCAAACTAATAGACAAATGAAGCAAGCATTAAATATAAGTTAAATTTAAAATTATCATCAACAGTGGAGATTATAATCTTATAAACAATAGAGGCATTCTTTCAAAATATGTAATCTGGATATTTCACAATATTTATCCATTTCCCCCAGGAGATTATTAGACCTGTCATTTTCTAAGGGATACTGACCGTGCTGAGGGAGAGAAGACAGGGCAGACAGGGAAACTGCTCTGAAATAGTTTACATATGATGGTAGATTACGTGGATTTATATCTTCATTGAAGCAAGATTGGAATGATACCTTACATAAAAGAAAACTGAGTGAGATGAATCAGAGACGATGTAATACACCATCTCAGCTAGACCAAGGAAAATTCCCTGCAGTATGAGACACTGTACCTCAATCTTAAATGGTGTTTAGGATTTGGACATGGCGACGGAATAGAGAACATTCAGTGCATCTGGACCAAGGTGAGCAAATGTGTCAGTAATACAGAAGGAAACGATACCAAGCTCTATATAGGTGAAGACGTCAAGTTCTCCCCTGGCGAGGGTTCTAGAAGCTCAGGTACGCTGTGAGGGGGGCCAGTTCTGGTCTTTGATTGTTGTGTAGGTTGCTGAAATGGATCTGAAATCCAACCTCACGCCAGAGTAAAGATTAAATTTAAAAACTGTTACTGGGGTGTCAGTAAAGAGGCTGAGTCAAAGGGCAGATGGCAATAGGAAGGCACCTCAGAGGACATGAATTGGACACAGAGCAGAGAAGACAGAACTGGAGAGAGTCCCTGAGGAGAACACAGCTGTGGGAACATTTGTAAAGGATGCAGTGGCATCGCCACGGAGAAGACTTACAAGTTTTGGTATCTCGAATTATATGAAATCAATAATTTCAGTCCCATGGACAGTATCAGTCCTTTTGTTTTCTGAATTTATCAGATTGGTTATAATTTAGCTTTTGGCACCATGTGAATGCAAATTTTCCACAATTTCAAACTTGTGTAAAATAGTGTTCAGGAAATCTAAATTCACTTCTCAGAACTGAACAGAATTTAGAGCTGGAAACCCAAACCAAAATCACTTCTCACAGAAATATTAGGATTTAAAGATAACAGTAGGCAAAACTTTTGTTTATCAAAAATAATTTCTCAAAGTCATTAAATCACCCCCAAACAATACACATAATTTTATGTATAAATACATGCAAAGTACATGAAGTGTAAATGTATAGAATATATTTCTGGATAAAATATGTATATAAATGTTTCAATTTTATTATATAGAGTGCATTTTAAGGAGTCCCCATATTCGGACTCCTGCAAAGTAAAAGCATATCTGATGCCACCCCAAGTTCAGTGTGGCCACAAAGTCTCTATGTAAGGGATTGTGTACTAACCTTAAAAGTCATTGGAATGTTGTGAGTGGCTTCCAACCATTACCCAGAAAGAAAATGTCCAGAAGAACATGGAAAAATTTTAAATTCTTGGGGACAGTGGAAGACAGCATATTGAAACAATGTAACTAGACTTCATCAGAATTTATGGACACTCTGTTTCTCTCTAAACTTCATGTCCTCTCCGCTCTGCCACAGGTATTAAAGCTGTCTGATATGTGATTAATGAATAACAGCTAATAATAATGATATTAATATCACAACTTAGTCTGACTGAGCCTGATGGAATAGGTCCTTAGGCTTAATCTGTATATCTTTAGTCTCCAATATGTAAGGGCAAAAATCCAATAAATTAGTAATTAGCGACATTAAAAAACATAACTTTAGTCGTGGTTGAGAATATTAATTTCTAGTTCTAGGGAAGGCAATCAGTGAAATGAAGCAGAAATGGTTATTTTAAGATGACACGCCAGACAAAGATACTATGGTCTTAAATTTGACTTCAATTCTGGAAGTCCTGCAGTCCAGAAAAATCTGTTAGCATCAAAGATTTCTCCTCTCTGGTGTCTCTGACGCTGGAGGGTGATTTTGTGGACCATCTTACTTTTTTGGCTTACACCCTGCTGTCCTCTGTCTACAATCATTATGAGCATAATTTATTATTTGCCAGGAAATTCAAAAGTTTCAAGTCATTGATATACGGGGTCAATAAATGGCCATATGTGCCAGCTTTTACTATGTTTATATGAGTTGAAAATAAAGTAAACGCCTCTATATGAGTCTTGAAAATGACTTAAGAAAGAAGTATCCAAATGTCATCCCTCATTTTGGGAATTATTTATGTGCTTGGGAGGAGCCTTTGAAAGAGACTGCCCCAAATTTACTATAAGCCACATGTGTACTGTACACAACTGGGCCTCCACCCCCGGTCTTCCTACGTTACTCTTATTGGGATTTTCGTATTTTGGTGTGATAGGTGCTACCAGAGAAGATAAGAGCACAGAGGGATGCTAGATGTCTGCCCCTCTAATACCATATTGCAGTCACAGTTCTTCAGAGAGTGCTAGAATAGAATCAAATGGTTCAAAGGTGATGCTATGAGATTCCATGATGACACAGGGCTTATTTTGTGGTGTGACAACTTCTTTGTTACAGTATTTGCATTTTAATGGTTTTCAGTGACAACAGTGATACTGGTAGTAACTGCAGATATTTGCAGGTATGTGTTAGCTGCTTCCTTGGGAACAAAAAGAAATCAAACTGGTACCTTTCAAAGGGCTACGGTGTTGTCATTTATTCCACTGGTGAAAAGGACCCAGCAAAGCTGTGGGTGTGTATATCTGCTTTCTCCTCTCCTTCCCCATGTGACTCACAGGTCCATTCTGACCCAATTCAAGACACTTACAGTCATTCAATTCCCATCACCAATGAGCAGCTCAAGGCAGGCCCAGATGAATCAGTCCATCATCTGTGAGGGGCAGTCAGCCGAGGATCTCATTGCAGAAGATATAGAGAGGGTGTCTGAGAGTGACATTTGAAATTGTCCATTAGAGGAGCTACCCAGTGTGTCATCTGAAGATGACAGCACAGACAAGATGGAAAGATCCTCCATCTTAGAGATAAACTGTGGAATCATTTCCTACTCTGCTTTTTAATAGATATAGCAGATATTATAGACCACATATCATTGGGTTTTTTATTACATGCATCTCTCTTCATTGAGACACATTCAAAATGATAATTTCCAGGATTAGCTATCCTATGTGTAAAGGGACACTTTCATACTTGCAGTTTGAAATGCAACTTTTTGAAGACAAGCTGTTTTGCATCAAAACTTGTAAAAATGCATATGCATGATTGAGAAATTTCATAGATTGGAATTCTTTTTAAATAAAACATTTAAAAATAAAGAGAAAGATGAATGAACAGAAAAGTTTTTAGCACAGTGTTATTAGTGAACAAATTAAGTGCTTAAAAGAAGGATTTTGGAACAAAAAATAAATAAAACAAACAAAAAATAATTTTGTCTGTACAATAGACCACTATGCAGCCATTAAAATGTATGTTATGACGCAATATTTTGTGATGAAAAAAATCTCTGAGGTATCTTTAACAAGAAACTTCAAGTTACTAGTGTTAATTAATGATAGCACAGAATTTTTGTATTGCAGATAAGTTTATAGGTGCATAGAAATGGCCTTAGAAATGTATATAAAAGCACTGGCTGTTTTAGACATTATAATTTTGGACAATTTTAATTTATTTTCCTTGAGTTTCCCAATATTTTCAAATGTAAACATTTCTTGCTTTGTAACAGATAAACCAATCCAAATCCAGAAAGAGGTTAACTTTTATTATTTTCAAATTTATTTTTATTATTATTTCCTTTACATAATTATTTGTTATTCAAAAGAACAGAAGGAAATAAATTAGAATCCCTGATGATGGTGCATATAATTTGTGACTAGGCTGGATGGCTTGGGGCAGTGGTGAAACTCAGGATATTAAAGGCCAATGTCACCTTCAAGGTGGGCCACAGACTGACATTCCTGTGTACCTCCCACTTCGCTTGAATCTTTGGTTCTGGAACTTCCAATGATAATGAGGAGAGGCAGGTGGTGTGGGGAGGGGGTACTTCACACTTCCTTGAGTCTCTGCAGTACTGATGTGGCATGAGCCAGTGGGGATGCCCCAGAGCTTGGCTCAAAATATTTTCAGTGAACTCAAGTGGAGATGAAGGCAGAGGAGTTTCCATGAGAGCTGACCTAGTGCTCAATTTGTAGGTTTCTGGGCTGGACTTCGGACAACAGGCTGTCAGCCAGAGGGCACAAGTGAAGATTGTGGGAAATGTACAAATTTATATTTAGAGCTACCTGTGGTGCATTGAGGCTTGAGTCAACTCCCAAGACATCCAAACAAAGAACATTTTGATCACTCAGCTCAAGGGAGGAGACTTCACACTTTCTATCAATGTTCCTAATTAAACCTGCAGCTGCGTGAACAGGAAGACTGCAGCCCACCCCAACTCCAAGATAGGAAAGTAGTTGCTGCTGGAGTTCAGAAAAACAATGCAAATTATTAATAGTATAAGTAACTAAACAGATGCTGCTGGAGCCTATACAATTAGTTTCAAATAACCCCTTTTCAGTATAGGTCTAACTACCAAGAGGTGAGGTAAAACCATGATAAATTAAAACAGTCACTGGAAGTAGGAGAAAATAGTATAGAGTCATACACTGCATAATGACACATGGGTCAACAGTGGACCACATATTCGACGGTGGTCCCTTAGGATTAGTACCATACAGCCTGGGTGTGTGATTGGCTCTACTATCTAGGTTTCTGTAAACAGACGCTATGTTATTCACACAATGATGAAATCACCTAATGACACATTTCTCAGAACATATCCCCATCTTAAGTGATGCTTGACTGTAAATAGGTACATGTGAAAGTGTTTACAAATGTTTATATCATACTTCTCACCATTTTGCATTAAATTAAAATTTCCATCATTATCATTATCTATCAGAATTTTAAGGGAACATTTAAAAAGATAACTGAAAAAAAAGATTGGTATTTTCCCTGGAGTACACAACACTTACTCAAAAGAGGCAAAGTTAGTGGGGCTTTTATTAAATCTAGACAAGCTTCCTGACTGGAACCCAACGCTCCCCCTTGTCTATGGTCGAATTTTACCATGTTTCTCAGTGCTCCATTATCCCTCCAGTTTATTTTTTCTGTCCTTGCACCATTCCCATTTTTTTACTGATAAAAATGATAAGCAATAAGGTATATGAGGAAGCCATTTGGTGTAAAGCTGATTTGGCCTGACCTTATTTATTTTTTTCTTCCAAAGGGCCTAACGTGGCCATTGAGCATGCATTGTGTATCTGCTTTAAGTATTTCCTATGTCTCAAATGGAACAGAACAGAAAGGCCAGAAATAAAACCACACATCTACGGACAGCTAATCTTCAAGAAAGGTGCCAAGAACATACAATGGAGAAAAGATAGTCTCTTCAATAAATGGTGTTGGGAAAACTGGACAGCCACATGCAAAAGAATGAAGCTAGACCATTATCTCATGCCATACACAAAAATAAACTAAAAATGGAACAAAGACTTGAAGATAAGTCCTCAAACCATAAAACTCCTGGAAGATAATATAGGTAGTACACTCTTTGACATCAAACTAAAAAGGATCTTTAAAATACCATGTCTTCTCAGACAAGGGAAACAAGAAAAAATAAGTGGGAGTTCATCAGACTAAAGAGCTTCTGCAAGGCAAAAAGAAACTAGAATCAAAACAAAGAGACTACCCACCAATTGGGAGAAAATATTTGCAAATCATATATCTGACAAGGGTTAATCTCCATAATATATAAGGAACTCACACAACTG